AGGTGAATAAAGAGCTGCTGACCCTACAGCCACAGATCTGCTAGTCCCAAACTTGTACTTCTGCTGCTGCATCTCCATCTGCAGTGGTATCACTGCAGCTCTGCTCAAGTCAGTGCCTTGGCTCACAGCAGCTCGAGCACGTGCTCTCCGAATCCTACTGCCTGCTCTTACGACCCCACTACGCCCATCATTTCTAGTGCAGGCAAGGCCTCCTACAAGTGTACAGTGGAGCTGTCCAATATGTTTTATTATGGAGGAGCAGGAGGAGTCAGTAGGTGTCATCTCTGAGGGAAAAAATAAAAAAATGAAACTCTAGAAAACTGTGATTAAAAGCTTCATTTTGTAGTCCCTTCTCCTGCAAATCTACCTGTGTGACAGGGCTGAATGAACTACAAGAGATTCAGTCACTAAAAAAGTCAGGAGGCATCTAATTTGGAAAATCTAATTTTCATGAAAGAAAAGAGAAAAGTTAAGGAAATAATCTGAAATAAGCAGAGCAATAATGACAGGTACTGAGTTAAAATGAAGAGAACTAGATAGAACACAGTAGAGGTCTGATTTAGTAAAGGATTGAGATGTCAAATACAAAAATGTCAGCGAAATGAAAATAGAAGACCACAGGGAAAAAAAATCAGATCAACAAAACTATCTTCCAAAGTAAGGTTTACTACTATGCAGAATGCTGACTTAGACAGGACAGGGCATGAAATGTGTTATATTTATTTACACCTACTGTATTGTATTGCTGAGTTTTGTCAACTGAGCTAGGTGTTAATTCACAGGACACAGTTGGGATAATGGCGCATTATTGTTATTCACAAACACCATTTTTTTCATTTTTAATAAAACAAGAAGAAAATTAGAAGCCTGCTGACTGCTGAAGAAGACAGGTTTTCACAAGACATACACATTCAGTAAATTTATGCTGTGAAAATAATTCTGCATTCTCTGATGTTTAATAATTCATGAGTGTTGTAAACTGGAAAATTTCTGAAGTTATACCGTCTTGAATGCAATCAAAAATAGATTAAGGTTAAGATTAAGGGTCTGGGCCCTGGCCTTGGTCAGATTTTGGGCAGAAACTTGCAGGAATTCTTACCTGGATGCTTAGGAGAACGATATTAGTGTATAGTACTTTGCCTTCGGACTCAGAATAAACCCATGTCTTGGCCTGATAAACCATAGGAGCGGTATGCTAACACTTTACTGGAAAGTAAAGTTATGGTCAGGTATGAACGATACAGATTCTTTTTCATTTTTTTCACAGCAGCGCTGGGACAGTTGGGCGCGTGAATTCCCTTCCGTTTCAGTCACAACTGAGACCCCGAGCGCCTGCAGCTGTGGGAAGGTCTTGACCGCAAACTTTAGCAGCTCAATATGTACGAGAAATCAGAATTCTGCCTGATGTTATTGTTCATGTATTTTCAGGTGAATTGTTCATGTCTTGCCGTAACTTATTTCCTACATGTATCTCACTGTCGGGTGATTTCACTAGCGGTTTCAGCTGTGCGATCTGAAAGAGGAGGGGACGGTATTACCTGGAAACAGGGACACAGTTGGCATTGGCCAATTTTTTTGCTTTGGCAACTTATCTAATGTAGCATTGATTTTTCTCTAGTCCTACTTCTGTTCCACCTACCATGCTAGAGAACATGTTATGTCTCTGTGTATTGACTGTCTTATAGATTTCTGCTGTTGTTGCAGACAGTGCTGCGTTTGAAACAATTTCATACATAAATGACAAAAAAAAAAAGCAGGGTGACAGATAACAACTGCAGCTTGTTAAACAGCCTCCTTTAGTTTAAAGTTTTCTACTTCACTAGATGCTCAGGTTGTCATGTGGAAAATGAACCATATTTCCAGGAACCTGACCTACTAGAAATTAGAATTTGAACATTACAGATTTTCCTTGTTTAGCCTCGGGAATTAAACTTTGTTCTTGAAATGTCTTATTTCCATAAATGCAACATTTGGAAGATGATAAATGTTTGGATTTATCAAGGCTCTACTTCCATTATTTTGTGTATTTGACCTCTCAAGATAACCTAGCATTTATTTACAATAACTTTCAAAATTACATTTTTAGTTATAGAATTTTCATGAGTACATGGACATCAAAATATATATATATATATCTCCTCTCCCTGCCCCTTCTACAATAAGCAGTTACTTGCTTTGCAGCTCCCATTGTTTTAACTTGCCTGTTTTCAAAATTTTCAGGTATAACGCTATTTTTTTACAAACATGATTTGCCAACAATTGAACGGCTTTTAATTCAGCATGTATATCTGAAATTGTAACATACCTGGTTTGCAGCTTCTGCTTTCAGATCTTCATCTGGATCTACACCAACTCTGTTTAAAAAAAAAAAAAAAAGAAAGACAGGCGGTAATGGTCTGCTATGTGTTAGAGAGCTTTGTGGGTAGAAATGTTTCTCCTGTGCCACTCATTTCCCGCCAGGCAAGAAATGCAGTGAAAAGCTGGCAAAACATTAAGATCACTTTCTTAATCAAGAAAGTGGTTCTTAATAAGTAGGTAGGAAACACAAGATTCTCTTTAACGGCTATTCGTAATACCTGAGATTAGAGTCTCCTCCCCGGCTCTGATCCGTATCCGGTAAAAAAGCAATCAACCCATTAGTCTATGAAATCCTGCAATTCCTGGCAGAAGGAGGAACTGGAGTTTGGGGGGTTTGTAGAGGACAAGGCTGCAGGACTGTGGAGTTTCTGGGTTGCGTGGCGCTGAGGATGACTTTTAGCACTCTGAAAGGGCTTTACTTGGCAAACAGGGTATGGGAGCAAACCAGAGGGGAGAGGAGATTGCAGCAGGTGATATGCAAGGTAGTGGAAACTTGGACAGCATCTTATTAATGTGGGCAGGAAAAAATAATTGGCTGTGAAAAGTGACATGGTGGAAGAATTGACATATGTTGAATATGGCCCTCTGGAACTAAAAAGCAAAGCAACTGAGAGATGCTGAGCTGACTGACGGAGGCAGGCTTGTGCTGAGGGCCACACCAAGACGGGACAGAGAGCAATGCTGGATGACGGATAACAAACTTTGTCACTGGGCTCTGAAGTTCACAGGGTGACCAACAGCCCCCGAATGCCTCACAAGCTGTCCAAATAGTGTCAGGACCACTGTGCTAATGCAGAACTTACTGATGCAAAGAAAATGTATTATTTCACCAGATGTTCATTTAAGGCCACGTTTCTGTTTTCCTAATGTTCTTCCTTTTTGAGTTTGTTTTTGCTTTCAGTAGTAACACAGCAAAATATATTTTAAAACCATTTATTATTAACAATTACCTGGCTCAGCAGTCTTTGCTGTAGCTGTCAAGCATATGCTCTTATGTAGCCAGAGACAAGGACAGGAGCTGTATGCAAACTAGATGCTTTTTATATGTAAATCCCGAGTGGAGGAGAGAATAGAGGTTTGTTTCTATCACAGCTCTTGAGCTTCAACAAATCTGAGTCCTCCAGGCATAAATATTTCTTTTGATTAAAAGTAATGATCCCAGTGCTGAATCAACAAGGAGACAGAATAAATAGCTGGGTTTTTTTTTTTTTTGTCCTATTGTCCTTTAAGTTGCTAGGAGAAGAAGCTTCAGCGGGTACTAACCTATTCGTCAGCTTGGAGTAAGTCAAGTTAGATATTTTCCATTTCATTAAAATGGGAACGTTTGCACAGCGAAAAAAAGGAAGCATACGTAGAGGTTTAACCATCTGCCTGACTCTGGATTTGTTGCTGTCGTGTATAGCACAGCGGTGTCCCGAGGCGGCGTCTGCGCTGGGCTTGGGGAAGCGAGCAACGCGAGCCAGGCCCTGGGCTGCAGAGCCCAAGCAGGCTGTGAAGGGGGAAACGACGGCTCAGCTCGACGTGCGACTGGCCCAGGCTCGTGAAACAGGTCAGGATCAGAAGAATCCTGGTCTCCTAAACACAATTACATGCCCTATTTATTAATAAGACTAGGCTGATTCACTAGACATGTTCACCCCCAAGACTATCTAGAAAGCCAGTACAGCAAAACTCCAGCAGTACAGTAGTTAAGGGTCCTCCTAGTTCTGGAAATAAAAAATACAAAGGATTTACGCATGATAGGTCTTAATGAGCTTGACCTGACTGCCAGGAATCGGTCTCCTGGGAGAGAAGTAATTCAGCCCCCATGCCGTTCTGGACTCGCTGGAGCTGAGAAGCTGCCAGTCCTGACGGGTCGTGCACGCGGGAGTTGTGACGCGCTTATTACAGAATGAGCAAAGACAACGGAAAAGCATTGCACCTGGGACTGAAGGAACTATAATAGCAAACGGGAAAAAGGCTGGGTGATGTGACCGATAGAAACCAGAGCTCCTGGCTGCGGTATCGTTTTGGTAACAGTGGTATAATTTCTACCTAATCAGGGACAACAGCAATCTAAAGGCATAGAAAAAATCTGGATTTAGAGAGTTTTGCAGAATTTGTTTATTCCTGTGGTCTGCTTAAGCTTCTCTGCGTGTATAATTTCTAATCCTTACGGTCATAGGGAAAGCCAGCTGTGCTGCTTTGTTTATTCTGTAGAAAATAGATTATTATAATATGGCACATATGAAGATATTCACTCTAAATCTTAACAGGAGTATTGCATTTAAAGCCAGAAAAAAAAGCAATAAATACCTGATGAAATCACACTTGGATTTTGCACGTATGAAAAAGGAAAGCATGCTTATGTGCCATAGGAACACCACAGTGCCACAGCTGATGCTTTCCTCTGGTCTGTTCTCTGCTCTAGTTTAAAACACAAGGTCAGATGCCACTGTCCTTTTTTCTCATGTAACAGTATCTCACTTGCAAAGTAGCAGGTATAGCACAATCTTCTCTGTTGGTTTAAAGTCCTTTGGGGAAAGACTAGATGGTTCTTTGCATTCTAGGGGAGAGTTTTGTAATGCATTAAAATAGCAATATATTTTGGTAATAATCTGAATGTTAGCAATTTTATTAAGTATGCACTAAGCAGACTCAATTCAATCACTTCTGAAATTGGGGCTAATTATTTTGTATTCAAACATAGGCTTTGGAGCCTAACATGGGGCACCTACCATTGAAAATCGTGGTCTGCCATAATTAACTCTGATGTACTAGATATGAACTAGAATGCTATTTTTAAATTGCAAATTTTGAAAAAACGAAGCATAACAAATTACATGAGACAGTCGAGACAACTGAAATTAAGCACAGACATGCAATTCAGGCTTACATCCTTGGCTTCCTCAAAAGTCCTGCAATATCTAGTGCTATTGCCACTACAATCTGCAGACTTAAAACTCTTATTGATTACTGTGAAGGCCTCTAAGAAATATGCTATTGTCAATAATGGTATAAAAATCTTTCTCCTTTTAGTATTCTGTTTTTGCCTTTTTGCCTTTGTGAGAAGATCCAATGAGTGGTCAGAAAAATATTTTCTAAATTGAGTATTTTTTCTTCCATATCTTTCATTGCTGTCCATTTTGTTCCTTTTCGTCTGTTATCTTATTTTACTCTTCTTTTTGCATTCTCCCTTTTCCATCTTTCTGTCCCACTTTCCTAGTTCCTATCTATTCCTTCTTCCTTTATTCTTGGCTGTTCTGTGGCTATTGTATGTTTTTATTTCTGCTTTTCTGTTTCTGTAGCTTTTCATTTTATACATCAAAGATTTCGGATGACCTTTTAACCAACCTATTCATTTGGAATGAATATAGACTAGATGGCTTTTTCTTTGTTACAGAACAGCGGCTAAGAAAAATCTTGCTTTTCTCATTAAAACATTGGAACCACTGTGATCTTTATCAGTTTTCATTTTTAGTGAAAATACTGGCAAAACTGAGCTTTTGTATAAGAATCATTGTTTACTGGGGCCTGTTTCTTTAAGAGACAGAGAAGCAAAAATATAATGTGTTTTTTTCTCCCCTCAAAATACTTATGAGAAAAGGAAGTCACAGGGGGAGTCTCTTCCTCCCATCCTTCTCTGTTCAGACTTGGACTTGTCCTCTCGCCCCAGAACTGGCTGAGATTACTTTGGCAACAGGGTAAATTGATTTACTCTTATGTTTTGAGAATGTGAAATATGACGCTTTACTGAGTGGATTTTTCATCATCAGCTTATTCTCAGGTAGCTTTAGATCAGCTGAGAGGCAGCAGGGCTGGCTGAAGGCAGCTGTAGGGCAATGCAAGTTTTCTTTCCCCAACCAAAAACTTCTTTCTGCTGGTGTCTGTCTCTCCTCATACTTGTTAAACCTTTTCTGGTTTTGACCTATAATATTCACAAATAATGTGGTGATTTGTTTAACAAGTAAGTGCCTTTTGGATTCAGATAGCAGTTAGGCTTATTTCAGTTGCTGCCAATCACAGTGAAACTCCAGTTCTTTCTACTACGTGAATTGGACTCTCCAAAGTTAGAATGAGGTGAAACTGGATTTTTATTTTAATTTTCAAATATCTATGGTATACTTTTTTATTTTTGTGTTCATGTTCTTTTTCAAATTTACTAAAGTATTTTAAAGACATTTTGGCTGAAATGTACACATTCTAAGGAAGAATTAGATTTTTATTAAAATCAGCTTTTTTCCATAAAGACAAACGCAATGAAGACTTTTTAATCAGCTCTACATAGCAGTGCAGTTCATCTACTGTAGGTATGTAGATAAGCTTTAACAATGTCATAGATTCAAATGCCCCAGATATTTACTGTGAGTTTGGATTTGTAACTCTCTGATATCTGAAAGCTGTTCTTTGTCGTTGTTGTAGTTTTTTTTTTAATCGTAGCTGAATCAAAACCTGGATTCAGTCACTGGTCCAAGCTGCTGTATGCAAAATCTGGAACTGAGGCCTGTGCCTTCAGCCAGTCTCTAGCAATTAGGCCTTACTGTTGCTAGGAGCTGTGCATTAGTCTGCAAAAGTACCCTTTACAGTTGACGGTATTTAATTCCCTGTGTGCTATCAAGTGCATCATTTTTTTTAGCAACAGTCAGAATGCATTTGATAATAAAAGGAAGAATTTGTCACTGAATACAAAGCAGTCGATAACATCTTTTTTATGTGGTTTGAAATGAAAATGGATGGAAAGATAAATCCTAAATTGTCAGGGAAAATAAAGTAAGAAATACAAAACCAATCCATAGGAATACTGAGTAGTAAATCACTTTTCAGACAATGAGAAATTTTCATTCCCTCACTTCAAATTACCACAAAGTCAACAGTGTAGGATAAGATCTCTTCTTTCTTCTGCGAAGCCACATAAAAACCTAGACACGTATATTTGTGATGATTTAGCCGTGTCAGGTAGCTTTTGGTGCCTATATCTACATGGGATTCTCAGCCCTCCCCTGCTAATCAGAATTTA